GAGCCAAGATCCTATTGGGTTAGAAAAGAAAGTAACAATAAAATAGACGTAATACCTACTAATCAAATTGAACCATCTTGTACAGGGTGAATCACCATATTTTGACACCCACCTGCAGCCGTAATTACAGGTGATAGGTGAACGGTGTAAATACAAAAGTTGTAGTATTTCATCTGAACCGCCAGAATTTTCAATTAGATTGTACAAATGAGCAACAAAAAGTGAAAAAATATGTCAATGTTTACTTTTTTCAAATGGAATGCCCTTTTTTTTTTTTCAAATTCTTAAAGTTCTCGTTTTTCTGATTCAGATTATATAATATGTTAGTGTTTCTTTCGATAGTTTTGGAAATATCTGGAGTTTAGTTATTCAAAGAGAGTAGTTTTTTGAATAAATTTCACCTTGATTTACCTGTAACCTGTCGCACAACATTGTGATACGTGAATAGATCTTTGAATAACTAAGCTCCAGATATTTCTAAAATTATTGAAAGAAACATTAACATATTATATAATCTGAATCAGAAAAACGAGAACTTTAAGAATTTGAAAGAAAATAAAGTGCATTCCATTTAAAAAAGGTGAACATTGACATATTTTTCCACTTTGTCTTGCTCATTTGTTCCATCTAATTAAAAATTCTGGCGGTTCAGATGAAATGCTACAACTTTTGTATTTACACCTTTCACCTATCACCTGTAATAGGGATGTTCACTATTTTTCAATTGTAATAAAAAGTGGTGGTTTTAGGTCCACAAAACACGTATTAAGCGTTAAAACATCTAGAAACCCTTTATTTTTTCTGATAAATCGAAAATAAAAAAACGAAATTAGCGAGGCTAGCAAAACGACCCCCTGCGGCGAGAGTACCACTTGTGACGTCACTGTGCGGAGCGAAAAATCAGCTGGCACGTTGGCGAGATTTGTTTACAAGTTTACATTGGATTTATTGTGTTACTGACTGTTGCTTTATCCCAAGAAGCTTCATTTACTCCAATTATCTGTGTTTTTGTAGTGATGGGAGACTCAAACAAAGTTGAACCGAGTCGAAAAGAGTGGTATCTACGTGCGTGTTTTTCTACGAGGTGCGAAAATGTGCTACTTTCCGCACGCAAATCGTTGCGTGAAGACGCGTTTCTAACAGGCTCATAGAAAAAATGGGCCTGACACGAGCATAAAGTATGTTTTCCGCACTTGCGGCTTGCACGAATTCCGCTGGCTCGTCGTTCGTGCAAATGCCGATGCGTGCGGGAAAGTATAACTTTCCGCCCTTGTTACAGGTAGTAAGTATATCATTGTTCAAATGCAACTATACCTACATCTAATAACGTCTGTTTTACTTCTACGCCAATGGACTGGAGCTGATTCAAGTCGACACTTGACCAAACATTCTGATAGGTACCATAGTAGATAACGAAATAAACAAAAAAATAGTAGATAACGTCCACAGTTGGTAGATTATATGAATCGGCCTTTTGAAAACCTTCATCCATTTTAGCCATAGTACCTTTTCTACCTTAATTTCGATAAACCCTAAACAGACTCTCTCGTTAAATTAAAACCGAACCATAATAATAATAACAATAATATTAATATCAATATTCTTTATTGCCAACAAGCAACGTCACAAGAGGCTGATCCAAGTAGCTAGTAACGCCACTGTACTTGCGCGTGCTAACTCAGTACGTATTGTGACGTCAGACAGCGTTTCGTGCGTTTAAACCATTGGTTTAAACGAATATCACTATTTCGTCTCCGTTTTTCTCATAGAAAGAATTTTCTGATTTTCGTAAAATTTTGTAGATTTACTTATGAAACGATGCTTAATAATTTGATGATAGTTAAACAAAATTTTTTAATTTTGTAAACATTCCTATTACGGCTGCAGGTGGGTGTCAAAATATAGTGACTCACCCTGTACAAGCACATGTTTTAAAGAATCAGGTGAACCTGAATTGTATTTAGACTTCCTACCAAATAATGTAATAGGAAATAATCTCATTTGACTGAAAGCGACAATAAAAGTGGAAGTGATGAAGTTGCATTTATTACTGAATTTGAATCAGAGGCACGCACATTGGCTTGTTATGCAAGTTAACTTTGTAGTTGACAGCGGTACTACAAATTAATCATCTTGTTAATTCAACTGTGGGAAAAAAATGACTAGTGTAGAGGAAGTGAACTATTGAATAGGAGGATGATGTTATTTTAGCAAAAAGAAAAGGTAATTCGCATGTTAAAGCTAAAAATGGTAGAGAAATTGTTGTGAAAATTTGACTCGTAGCTTATTGTCTGTCAAAATTCTAGAAGAGAAAGGTCTGACGGTGGTGTTTTGAAAATAAGAACGTCTTGATACAAAATCAAAAGAAAGTATAACCTACTAGTTATTGGAGAATTGAATAAGAATTTATACACTTTAGATTTATTTTAAAGAAATCCAGAAAAAAATACAGCAACTTTTGCTGGCAAAGATTTATGGCATAGGCGAATGGGACATTCTGCTAAATATCCATATGAAGGAGTTTGTGAAATATGCTGAAAAGGTAAGCGAACAAGGATCCTCACGTAATTCTTACTGAAGAGAGAAAAGCAAAGGGAATTCTTGAAGTTGTATCTTCCAGATGTATGTGGACCAATAACACCCATTATTTATGATGACAAGGGATATTTTGTAACCTTCATAGATCATTGCAGTCGTTTTACAGTTTGTTATTTAATGAAGCACAAGAGTGACCATTTCAAGAACTTCTTAGCAAAGGTTAGTGCAAAATTTAACAAGAAACTGGAACGAATAAGATGCGACAATGCAGGAGAATACGTCTCAAGTGAATTTAAGGACTTTTGTTCAAAGAAAGGTATTGAAATAGAATACACAGTAGCATATACATCACAACAAAATGGTGTAGCCGAAAGATTCAACAGAACTGTAATGGAACGTGCAAGATGCCTATTATTTGAATCGAAAATGGACAAAAGTTTTTGGGATGAAGCCTTGAAGACAGCTGTAGGTATATCTTATAAATAGAACTTCAACAACAGTGCTGAAAAATGAAGTTTTTCCAGCTGAAATTTGGTATGTTTATAGGCCTAATTTGAATAAAATTAAAGTATTTAAATGTAGAGCGGATGTTCATGTCCAAAAGTAGAAAGATCTAGTAAGTTTAATGAGAGATCAAAACTATTGTTGACAATGAATATCGACTTTGGGACAGAGACGAACAGAAAATAGGGTATTTGCATGGAAAATTAAATTGATTATTGTTTATTGCAAACTGTAGGAAATCGAAAAAAAATCGTTACTTTTTTTTTATTTCGCCCAAATATGATTATTCCAGAAGTTATTCAAATATTAAATTTTGTATATATAGATATACTGAGCATGTGCAACGTCACTAATTTATTAGATAAGTGACGTCATAGGCGGATTTCATAGTGTTGTATCTCCGTCAATTTTTGACTAAGAAGAAAAAGAAAAAACACGTGTTAACTTATTTTTCATGGACTATCGAAATCAGCAATGAAACAATTTGATGCAAGGAGCCTATTGTGGTTGCCAGAAATGTAAAATTTAACGAGAATAAAAAAAATATCATAGATAAGAACATTGAAAGACAAGATAAAGAATTCTAAGCAGTGACATATTTGAAATCAATAATGATGAGGAAATACAGAGTACAAGAAAAGGAAATTCGCAAGTACAAGATGAAGAGAAAAATGAATCAGAAAATCAAACTGAAATTGACAATAATGTAACAATACCAGAAAGAAAAACTCCTAAGCACTTAGAAGAATATGATAGTGAACTGATGGCAGCACTACTATCAGTGGGCATATCATCAGACATTCCTGAAAATTATGATAAATCTATGGAAGGAAGCAGAAAGCCATACAAGACAAATTGGACTCACTTGTACAGAAAGAAACATGGGAAACTAATCCAAAACCAAACAATATAGATTCAAAATGGGTTTTTACAGAAAAAGAAAGACATGGAAAAGTGATAAAGAAGGCAAGACTTGTAACGAGAGGTTTTATGCAATCAGATTTGCAAGAAGAAGTAATATTCATCAGTCGCAAGGATGTTAACCATCAGAATTATCTTATCATTTAGGTGTTCAAAAGGACCTAAAAATCAACCAACTTGATTTTAAGTGCGCATTTATCAATGGTGTATTGGAACAACGGTTTATATGGAAGTGCTAAAAGGTCTAAAAAAAATTCCATAGTGGAGTGTGTGCAAGCTAGACAAATCTTTACATGGTTTAAGACAATCACCTAAATACTGGTATGATAAATCTCATCATAGATTTGGCAGATCCTTGTATATATTACAATGATGAAATGTTTTTGTTGATATAGTTCGCCTTACGAGTCTAGTACTACCACGTCTGAAGGGCAAGGGAGAATAATGCCATTGATTTCGAGCTTTATGCTGCCTGTCATAGGCGTGCGCGCAGCGTTTTTAAATATTACTTTTTCCTTATAAATGTAGGTGTGTAACATAGATAAATATTAAGGTATTTTCTATTGGAAGTCAAATAGGCAATTTTTTATCCGCATTCTTTCCATAGTGTTAGACTCGTAAGGCGAACTTTACATGTTGATGATTTAAGCAAAAATCAATGAAAATATTTAAGAATTTATGACAATTTTTATAAATCAGAATAATTTGATTCAGAAAATTTTGAAAATTTTTCACATGATTGATGCAAAACCTAGTACCTACAGTAACCAGTTCAAATTTACTTCTGAGTAACGAACGGTTCTTGGTCTGTGTGAAAGAAGGTAGATAGTCAAAAATGTCAACTGTACTAGCGCGAGATCAATCCGATTGAAACTGTTCGATTTTTATGTATTTTAGATATACTTCTCTATATTGTTACCTATACATTAACCCATTAACGTCCTCTATAAATACACGGTCAACGAAAAATTATTAATTATTGCTGGTAGAAAATAGACTACATCTTAATACGAATAATTAATCGCTGGCTAACTCACCCTGGCACTCCCGGTTTCCTAAAAGCATTACGCGCTTGTCTGGAAAGCAGCCTTTTGTCGCTGTTGTCGCAAATTATCCGAGACAGTGAGGCTTTTCTTACTTCGTGCAGTTGTTCTAGGCAAAATTAATTAAATGTTAATCCTAAACACGAAATTCGTTTTTGGACTTACCCATCGTGAAATGTCCGGGATTAATGGACGGATCGTTTTCGAAAAAGTATCTGTCGCCTTTTTTCAAACGAGCGAATTGGTCGGCGATCATGTCTCTGAATGTTGGACCTACGAGACTTCCTGGAGCTCTTTCTTCTAGAAGACCTCCGACCCAAAGATCCATGTCGTCAGGGGATTTGTAGACTAAACGCAACTTTTCTCCTAACTGAAAATACCAATATTAATTGGAAATATTTATATGATATAAATAGAAAATTATTACCTCAGGTCCATATTCACTAAAATCCCTGATGCGTGGCAATCCTGTTAGTTCCCTATAATCATTGTAAGGCCTAAGACCGTGGTCTCGGCCTCTTTGTATGTTGATTGCCGCCAAATCAACTCCGAATGGGTTTCCTCCTCTGAACATGTACTTTGTAAGCTAAAAAAAAATTATAATTTTCATTCGACAAATAATTACAATCAAATGGAAATATTCACTTGATCTGTTACAGAGCCATCAACGTCTTGGATCGGCTCAGTGGTTAAAGTACTAAGGATTTCGTCCAAGAATTCTTGGTGCCTCATTCTGGCCGGGTAGAACATGACTTCTGGAATTGCGATTACTTCTTCCATTTTTTGGGGACCGTAGAGCCTGAAAGAAGTCGTTGTAAAACTGTTGCAATAATTTGAATTTCAATTACTTCAATTGACCGTCTACAGTAGAATGTCCGAACCTGAAAGCAGCTGCAGATAATTCGTTGGTAACTGAAGGTTCGACTTGCGGATTGTAGTCTACAGAGTATCTGTCACCTCTTTTCAGGTGGAGACCGAAATCGTCCATAGCTTCCATACCTGGAAAAGGTCAAAATTGTTATGATTATGCTCTTTTGATTCGACAGAAATATTTTTGAAAATTCGTAGATCAATTATTTTACCTATAACAGTGGGTAAAAATTCCTTATAAACAATCACTTGCATTTCGGCAATCAAAATTTGCCGAGCCTCCAAAAAGAGTTGATCGTCGTTCCAGTGCGGATTTAAATGAGCCAACACCGTGGCCAGCCTGTTGTGCTCCCGTAAAAATATCGTGTGCATCACGACCAAAGTGATCATTTGATTGGTTCTGGTGTCGCCCGATTCGAAACACGCCGAGCCTTGTTCCATGGTGAGACAAGCCTCCGGATCTTTAGCTAGCGGCGGCAAATCTCTGCCGTAGTCCGAGAACACTTTGAGTTTGCCAGCGTGGAAGCTTCTGAGTTCACTAGTTTGTTCGGGAGTCGATCCGTACACTTGAGAGACGTCAATGTAGTGAGTGATTTTGTTCATCTGAAATATTTCGTGATCATATACACAAAAGTTATGTGAGATTATGGGTAATGTGACTTACAATCTTGTTTCATAGATTGCAATTATTATGTTAGAGTTCTTACCTGCTGAACATAACCTAAAGAACATTCATGAGACGGCGCCAATATCGTTCGTACGAAATTCATGCAACGTTGATGGAACCTCGAAAAAAACGGGTCGTTTTCTGGTATTGGAATAGGCATACAAGCGTAATGAGTGGCTTCTGGTGGCAGCATACTGTTACCGTCTGATTCACAACACGCTATGGCACTGCCATTTGCTAAAATAACTCGTTACAAGATTCATATAATAAAGCTCAAACTACTTACTGAAAGACATATCCATTGAATGAGTAAAATCGTGCGACAAAAATTGTCCAAATTGTGGTACTGCCAACGTATAATCGTGATTCGGCGAATCAACATCACTTATCACAGTAGTACTAATCTGACGTGGACTGGGAAGTGGTTCCTCATCGACTACAGAAACTCTCGGTGACCAAACTCCGTCGTGATAACTGGCTGGCAAAATTCTGGAATAAGGCGTAAACGGAGCGCCCCAAGTTGGATGCAAAACGTTGTTGCAAGCCCCATCGATCCTTCGATATCTGTCCGGAATCATGGGACAAAACGGCGGTTCGACACAAGCGTGGCCTAAAGGTGTGTGTTTCAAATCCTCGCTAACGTAACCCATTTCCAGTTGTTCGTTTGTCAGACCTTGACGATCCTTGAAGGCTCTTGTAGCGATTGCGAGTTCTAAAGCGCTATTGGCGACGTGCATTACTTGGGAAAGATCGGCCATGTCGAAAGATCTGGAGTTTCTGAAGTGGCCGTAAGTAGCGGGACCAGGATTCAGTATTGTAGGTTCAGGGGATGATAGTAAGTCGGATTCGCGCGATTTGAGTTTGGACATTTCGTCGGTGCTTTTTTTCTCTAGGGCGCTTAAGGTGAGCTTGTCTAGATGAAGCATGTGGTTTTTGCGGCCTTTTTGGACGGTGGACTCTATGGAAAATGTTTGTAATGAGTAGATTTGTTATATAGTAAGCTTGTTGATTTTTGATAACTTCAACAACTAGTTGGTTTGAAATAAATAAATTCAGGTTTGAATGGCCATAAATGATATCAAAAATTAGATATTTAATCTAAATAAACTGAGTCAGCCTTTTTTTGAATAATTTTTTCCAAAGCCTGCTTACACTCTCACCAAAACTTTCTCACGTTCTGAAAAGTTGGAAATTGGTTAGTCTTTTGCTTTCTAATAATTTCAATAATCCATCATGCTTTTTTTCTGTTACTTTGAGCTAATAATTTTTTTTCTCCAATTTATCAGTTGATGTTTTATGAAACTTTTCCATTAAATTTTGATTTGGAATTATGTCTGGACATATTGTATTTATATAGTTTGATTACCTTGTTCTAACAAATTTTTCAAGGTTGTGATGGTATAATATCGAGTGTTGCGTTAATTGTCATTTCACTTTTTGTTTCCAAATTTCGAAAATACACTTCTTCAATATTAATAATGAGTATGAGTATGTATTGGTTGATATTTACTTTCTACTGATGTGAACAGTATTTTTCCGGGTATAATATTGGCTGTTAACTATTTGTGCAACGTTCCAAAGTTGTTGAGACGATAGAATTTTGCCGATTGGGCTTTTGCTCTTGAGAACGTTTTTGTTCTAGAAGGTCTATTGAATTTCCTTGATGGTTCTGAGCAGGATACCATTTTAATAGGTGAAGCCAAGGCCTCACATTAGATCCATCACTGTTTATACATGTGAAGGAATGTGAAACTGCTGCAGAACTCTGGAATACCCTATACAAGTTATACGAGGATACAGGCATAGCTCGTCACATTGGCCTGTTACGTAAGCTAATTTCATTAAGGTTGGACAATTGCGAATCTATGGAAAACTATATTAATCAAATCGTAGATTCTTCTCAGAAGTTGCAAATATGTGGTTTTGTTTTAAGCCAGGAATTTATATAGGCAGTTTAATGTTGGCAGGATTAACCGAAAAGTTTGAGCCAATGGTTATTGCCACTGAACATGCAGGAATTGCCATTGCTGCAAATTCTATAAAATCAAGATTACTTGATATGCATATAAGTCGCGCAGATAGTCAAGCAGCTGGTGCTGTTGCATCAAAAACTTCAGGGACAAAGGTGGCTGTACGAGACATCCATGAAAACATCAAAATAGACCTTCAACATCAGCTGTTCAGCAGCAGAATCAAAAAAAAAAAAACTGAAGTTACTTGCTTCAAATGTGGAAAATTAAGACACTAGAAGCCAATGTCCAGAACTTAAGAAGAACAAAAATAATGACCCTTCAATTGCTCTAATTCAGTATTTTTAAGTGGACATTTCAGTAATTGTGATTGGTATATGGATTCCGGCTGTGTATGATGCCCAAAATCAGCTGATTGCTACAGCAAGCTTGATAGACAATGTATACAAGTTGAACATTAAAGTTTCAGAAGCCAACCTAACAGGATTATGCAGTATCTAGGGAGACATGGCACAGAAGGTTTGGTCATTTAAACCATAAATTTTTTGGTGAAAGATTCTCTTTGTGAATTTTGTTGTGAAGGGAAGCAGACCAGGGGCCGGTATTCTAGTCCTCGAAAACGCTCACCGCTTTGTAGTAAAAAGCGATGAGCGTTTTCGAGGACGAGAGTACCGGCCCAATTGCCTTTCGAAAAGGGAAGTAACATATCTTTCTGGTGTTTGCTAATTTTCTTTTGCTCATTTCTTATTAAAAATTAAAATTTAATGGAGATGAAAATAAGATTTTTATGAAAAAACACAACATAAAGTACAATCACATTGAAGAAGTGAATTAATTGGAAGCAGAGATATTGAAAGTGTGGAAGACCTTGACGGTTTTGATATAGGTATATACCTACTGTGGCGGAAAATATGAAAATTGTTCAGTGGACTGTATGATTTGAGAAAAATGGAAATAAATGTTTAAACCCGGTACGCACAGATCACTTACCTTTGAAAAGGTTTCTGTTGGTTCTCTGGGTACTGGTCCAAACTGAAGCGTGTTGACTGTAGCAGAGTACTCTGTAGCTTCTTAGGGCAGTAAAATAGGGGCAATTTCGTTGTAGTGACCGAACCGTCCGATACGACACGAATTTGTACGGGTCGCGTAGCGAGAGTGTGTTGTCTACTCTCCGGCCGAGAATATGTATTATTTTTAAAATCTCGGACAAGGCAGCATAAAAATGCAGCTGCTTCCAGCAAGTGACGTGTGCGCATATGATAAACGAAAAAAGTCGCAAATGAAAAATATAGGCACAATCGAACTTTGTAGATTGCGCTACACAAACTAAAATAGGCAAAAAGCCCTTTTGAGAGTTTCCTAAACATTCACCTCACCAAAACGCATGTTTTTCAAGCAGGATGAAAAAAGGTTTACTAGTGGTAGATACTTATTATAAATATTAAAACGAAACTTAAAAAATAAACTAAAAATAGATAGGTAGGAAAAAATAAATAATTAGTCTTCCGGTAAAGGGCAAATCTTGACCACAGGTCTTTGCATAACACCTTTGGCAGTTTTCAGAGTAACGACTCTAATAATATTATCCTGTCCTGGATGAATATCTATAACTCGACCCATCTCCCAATGCAGTGGGTGGAGTTGTTCATTTTTTATTAGAACAAGGGCTCCTAGCTTGATAGGGGGAGACTGATCCAACCACTTGTGTCTTTCTTGCAAAGAATGTATATATTCTTGCGACCAACGTTTCCAAAAATCGCTCTGGAGTCGCTGAATGAGTTGCCAACGACCCAATCTACTTAATTTCAAGTGACTTAAATCTGGGTTAGCGACTGGGCTTATTAATGGTTCAAAGATTAAAACATGCCCCGGAGTAAGAGGTTGTAGATCATTTGGATCTGCACTGATACTGCACAAGGGTCGTGAGTTTAATAAAGCTTCCACCTGGGTTAAAAAGGTGTAAAATTACTCATAGGATAAAATCTGAGAACCCCAAGATACGATAAAAATGATTTTTGAATGATTTTACTCCAGCCTCGGCTAGTCCATTAAAATGAGGAGAGCCGGGTGGATTGAAGTTCCAAGAAAGAGACAAAGTGTCAGCGGCGGATTGTGCCAATTCAAGAAGTTGTCGATAAGCGCCTTTAAAATTGGTACCTTGATCACTGGTTATAGTGACGCAATTTCCTCGTCGGAAAATAAAACGTCTGAAAGCTGCTACAAAAGAATCAGAAATTAGATCTGAGGTCAATTCTAAATGAATAGCCTTTGTGGCAGTACAAACAAATACACAAACGTAGCCTTTAAATATTTTGGCACCTCGGTGCCTACTATAATATGTCTGTCAGAAATTTCCAAGCTATGATTGGACAGAATTGGGAATCGACACTTGGCAACTCTGGACATATTTTCACTCCCTCCCAGGTAGGTACTCGCTCCTTGCAAGAATATGTATTTTTAAAACCAAGAGAATAATAATATGGGAGTAAAAAAATATGGGAGCTGTTCAGCAATTTTTCTATTGGTTTCAAGAATAGGGGCACTGAAAAGCATTTCTGATTGGCTATAGCGAACACATTAAAGGCTTCATGATCCCATTAAAAATGAAGTTTTTACTAGTAGGGATGTAGTTATACATGAAAATGCTCCTAGAATTAACAAAGTCATTATTTCTGAGCCAGAACCAAATTTAGACACACAAGATTCAGTGGAGGCTGAATGAGTTCAAAATGAATTGAGTGAATTTTTATCCGAACCCGAAGAAAATTTGCATCACGACCCAGAAAGCAACAGCGATGAAGAGTTTATTGCTTCTTTTGAGGAACTAGAAGTTATCAGGAGATCAGATCGAACCAGAAAGCCTCGACAGTATGAGGATTATGTTACTTATTTGTGTCTATTACAATCTGTCAATTTTGAGGGCATGCCATTGACAGTAACTGAGGCCTGATGCCCAAAAATGGAAAGAAGCTATGGAGGATGAAATGCGAAGGTCAAAAAATGCAGTGATAGTGTAGTATATTAGGGCTAGGTTAGTCGCTAAAGGTTTTACACAGGTAACAGGTATTGATTATAATGAAATTTATGCACACGTCATTCAACCTTTAGAATGTTAGTAGGTTTAGTGGGTTTAGCTGTAAATTTAAATTTGAAAATTTACCATTTGGATGTGAAGACGGCTTGTGTCAATGGTATTTTGGAAGAAAAAGTTTAAAGTATGAAACAGCCAGAGGCCTTCATTGTTTCAGGCTCGGAAGATAAAGTTTGCAAATTGAACAAAGCAATATAGGTACGGTCTTAAACAATGTTCCAGAGCATGGTACATGAGGGTCGATGAAGTTTTGTTGGAAATTGACTAAAAAATCAGCACATGAACATTGTCTATATATTATAAAGAATAGAAGTGGGTATTTAACCATTGTTGCGTTATACGCAAGTGCAGATATTGTCGTAGCTAGTGACCCAATTTTTGATGATAGTTTGCAGGTATTTTTCGTCGATTTTTAACTAACACTTTTCGTATGAGGAGCGAGGGGGGTGTTTCATATGGCAAAAACAGGTGTGACGTCAGGTAACCATTGGCATTCTAATGTAGGGAGCCACCAGCTCACATACCGTCCGAGTATCAGATTAAAATCGATGGACAATATGTTGACGACTTTTTAATTTTTTCAAATTATTTTTAAAGTACTGATTTTTTAAAGACTCATTTGAAATCTATATTCAAAATTAAGGACTTAAGGAGAGGCTAGGCAGTGTTTAGGAGTCAGGATTAGTGGAGGTAAAAATTTAATTTTCTTAGATCATGGAGGTTCATTGGAATTGTGCAAAACGTGTTATAAAGTATTTTCAGGCTACAAATGGTTTTGGATTAAGATATTCTAGAAATGAATGCAGTGAAATTTTAGGATATGTTGATGCTGACTGGGCAAACTTTAAAATAAATCGAAAATCTTACACAGGTTTCGCATTTCTGCTTTCAGGACGTGCTGTATCATGGGAAAGTACAAAACAGAAATCCGTAGCCTTTTCAAGCACTGAGGCTGAGTATGTAGCTTTGGGTGAAGCTTGTAAAGAAGCTATACAGGGTGTCCCAGGGAAAATAGTCCAGCAAGGTTTACGGCTTTGGACGGAAAGATAAATAAAAACCCTCAGACCGGTAAAATTTTAGTTTCAGGGGACACATTATATTGGTATCGCCACCCCTCGGGGTGATAGGTACCCCCAAAATCTCAAATGAAGAGGGGGGTCGAGTGATACGTCATTTATTAGCTATTTTCATTAAGATTATGACCCCGAAGTTTAAAGTTGCTACTATTTACCCTGCCAAAATGGCGTCTTGTCAAAGTTAGGAAAAATGATGCGTGGTTTTCACTGATTCTTGGTTTTCACCTGTTACTTTCGCATAGGTGTGACAGGAAGGAAAGGATTTATCCTAACTTTGACATGCAGCCATTTCGACAAGGTGAATAGTAGCAACTTAAAACTTCTTAATGTAAATAGCTAATAAATGACGTATCACTCGAAACACCTCTTCATTTGAAATTTTGGGGGTACCTATCACCCCGGCTTAGGGGTTGACAAGTGAGGGGTGAAAATACCAATAAAATGTGTTAACCTGAAAACAAAGTTTTGTGGGTCCGAGGGTTTCTATTTATCCTTTCGTCCAAAGCCGTAAACCTTGCTGGACTGTTTTCCCTGGGACACCCTGTATATTTGAAAAATTTAATATTTGAATTAGTTGATTACAATGATAGTATTGTGTTGTTTAATGATAGCCAAAGTGCGAAAATGTTAGTAGCTAACCCAGTTATACGCAAAAGATCCAAACACATTGATGTAAGGCATCATTTCATAAGACAAGTTGTTATGGATAAACAAGTTGATATTATATATTTGCCGATGTCCTAACAAAAGGTTTAACGTCATCTAAGCATTATAAATTTGTTAAAAATTTAGGCTTAGGTAATTTTCAATAAGTGGGGGGGGGGGGTTGGTTGTAATATTGAAAATTGCCATGTAATATTTACTTTATACTGCGTGTGGCTCCATCTATTATAGCAAAATATGTTCTGATTTATCTCAGCAAATATTTAGTAGTCATGACGAATAAATAACAGTCGTACAGAACTCGTGCGTATGGTTGTTTTAATTTTCCTGTCTCGATTCACGTTTTCTAACAGTATGTATTAGGTAATATCAGAAACTTTGCAATGAAGTTAATTACAAGTATATAGAGTGTGTCACAAAAGTGTGGCGAAGCAAAGTTATACTTTTTTAAATGGAACACCCCGTATATTATTGACCTATTGGATTAGCCTTTCAAACCTGATTCAAAATATACTATGTTTTTCAGGTTTATTCCTCATAGTCCAGCCTTTGAATATCCCATTCTGCAGAAATAATATGGATTTTTCACTTGAATGATTACCTTTATATTTTGCTGGTGGTCTCCATACTTAACCTTTTTCAATAAAAATGCATATATTCCACCATTTTTTTTATAACTTACAATTTTCACATTTGACATTTCTCAGTATCTCTTCGAACAGGTGAGATAGGTGTGGGTCCAAAATATAGACAATCACCCGAATTTTCGTGAAAAAAAAAACACAATTTTCCCTTTTTCTTGATTTTTTTTAATTTTAAGTTTGAAAATCCGCATAATAGGGATTGAATTTATTTGAATTGCTTTAGGTACGTCTCTTATAGGACAAATAAGTGCAGCAAAGACAGACTTATGACAAAAAGCGTGTGTTAGACAGAGAATGACGAACTATAAATTTTCTTGTTTTTCTCTATCAATTCTTCAGAATTTTGTTTTCCGCATTTTGTTTCTCAATTTTGATTTGAATCTCCAAAATTGGATTTTTAGGAAGCAATTTTTAAGTACCTAAGTACTTTTTTTTAAGATTGCGACAAAGATAGACTCATGAAAGAAACCACGTGGTGGACAGGACAGAGAAAGACGAAGAATAGAATTTTTGTGAAAAAAATTCAGGCCCAAAATTCTCGTTTTTCTCTATCAATTTCTTCAGAATTTTGTTTCCTAATTTTTATTTTAGTCTTCAAAATTGGATTTTTGGGAAGTAACTTTTTAGTAAGTACCTACTTTTTTTTTAGGGTAAATGATTGCGACAAAGACAGACTTTTGACAGAAAGCGTGTGATAGACAGAGAGAGAGAGAGAGATGAAGTATGGAATTTTTCTGAAGAAAATTCAGGCCCAAAATTCTTGTTTTTCTCTATTAATTTCTTCAAAATTTTGTTTTTCGCATTTTGTTTCTTAATTTTGATTTAATTTGATTTTTCAAAATTGGTTTTCTGGGAAGTAATTTTTAACAGACAGACTTATCACAGAAAGCTTGTGCTAGACAGAGAGAGACGAAGTATAGAATTTTTGTGGAAAAACTTCAGGCCCAAAATGTTTGTTTTTCTATTTCAATTTCTTCAGGATTTTGTTTTATTTCATTTTGATTTGAGTCTTCAAAATTGGATCAATGGGAATTAGGTGAGTACTTTATTTTTCAGATAGGATTGCGACAAAGACAGACTTATGTTAGGAAGCGTGTGTTGGGTCAGAGACAGACAATTTTTTTTAGAATTTTGTATGTACAGTTGCGATCAAAAAAAAGTAGTACAAAAATTATTAACCCCAATTTGAGCTCCCGGTGTAACATAAAAAAATTTGACAGGCAATGACATATTCTAGGTTAAAAACGTGTGGAAAAATGTCAAAATAATGTCATCTGAAGCTTTCTAGGTTAAAAATTTGTCGAAAAATGCCACAAATATGTCACTTTTGGTTATGAATTAAATTAATGTACAATAGACCCGGAGATTTTGGAGATTTTTCTTGTACTATTTTTTTTTGATCGCAACTGTACTTCAGCCTTTAATTTTTTTTTCCCAAATTTTCAACTTTTTCATGAAAAATCACTCATTTTTTCGAGTAGGTAAACGAAAATCAATTATCAAAAAATTTTTGAAAATAGTAAGTAAACTTTCGACCCGTGGGCCGAAAGTAAAAGTCAAAAAAGTGACATTTTCGAACTTTTTAAAAGTCAGTAAAGTCAACATTACATGTATGATTGTAAATAAACACTTTTTCTTACTTTTCCTTTAATTTGAGTTTGCGAATTTTTAAAATCGGCCATGAGAATTTTGTGAAACAAAATCGTAATTAAAATCAAACACAATTAATTATTTCGTCAAAAAACTGTCGCGAAGACAATTGAACTGACGCACAGATAATACTTGAACTGTCGCACAGACATAATAATTGTTAAACTGTCGCAAAGACAGTTTAAATGTCACTGAGACAGACAGTCAAAGATCGATAAAATGGTTATACTGTGACATAGAAAGTTAAAATGTAGCGAAGACAGTTGAAATATTGCAAAAATTGTTGCACTATCGCGAAGACAAGATAATTAAACTGCCGAAACGACAGTTGAAATGTCGCTAAGACAGCTAAAGTGTCGCAAAGAAAATTGAACTTTCGCTATAAGATTTTTACGCTATATTTAGGATGACGTCACATTTAGTAAATTTCCGCTGACAACCTTCCAAAACTAAAAGTACTTTTTAACGCATTTGAAGTACGAAAATTTCAGATATTTTTGGTTGGCAACGGCGCGCTATGTTGCATGATTTATATAAACATTTTCGAATAAAGAGTGTCGATTCTTGTCGTTATTTTTAGCTGTCAGTGGTCTTGACAATTTATTATTGCCCGAAGAATGAAAACGACTCAGAAATAGTATTTTGGAACTGCATAGTTCACAGTGTCCCAGAAGCTGGAAAAAACATTCCCTGAAGCTGAAAAATGTCTCAGAGCTGTTTAAAACAACTTTCAGGCTGCTCATAGTGTTTTAAAGCCAAAATAACTAATTTGGAAATTAGAAAAGCTGAATGAATAATTTGCAGTATTCGAAACTCGTGAAAATGACTCAGAAAGAGTTTTTTGGAGCTTTTTACAGTTAACCTATATGTAGATTGAAATTCTGAATTGTCTCAAGATAAGAATATACAATTTCAGAGTAAAAATAAGCAATTTCCGACAATCTTAAGATCAAAATAGTGACTGGGTTCAATGTTACGAAAAATCTCAAAGGAAAGGCAATAAATAATGAATAATCTGATGACAGCAGAATTCTGAGAAAGGAGGAAATACAAAAAAAAAAGGAAAAATTCAAAAGCCTGGAATGGAAAAATTATGGAATTCCATGCTTCTCTTTATCCTAATTTTTTCTCTATTCCAGGCTCTTGAGTTTTCTTAATAAAACCATACGGAATATTAGTTCATATTGGAAGAGAAAAATGAAGAGATCCTGGAATACAAAAATATTGAAAATTCAAGAGCCTGGAATCAAAGAAGTGTAGAATTAGAATTTTGAGTTGTATCAGGGTAAAAATACACAATTTCAGAGTAAAAATAGCAATTTCCGACAATCTCAAGATCAAAATGGAGATTGGTTTCAACAATGTTAGGAAAAATCTCAAAGGGAAAGCAATAAATAACGAACAATCTGACGACAGAGCAATTCTGAAAAAGGAGGAAATACAAAAAAAAAGGGAAAAATTCAAAAGTCTGGAATGGAAAAATCATGGAATTCCATATGTTTCTCTTTATTCTAAGTTTTTCTCTATTTCAAGCTCTTGAGTTTTCTTTTTGATAAAAACATACAGAATATTAATTCATACCTACTGGAAGAGAAAAATGAAGAAAACCTGGAATACAAAAATAATAAAAATTCAGGAGCCCTGTTCTTATTCTATGACGTCATTTTAAATATAACGTAAATAACCTATAAGAGCGACAAATTTTCACGAAAACAAGATATATGAGTTGGTTTTCTGGATATTTTTGCAAGTATTCAACTTGATTTTATTGGAATTATTTTGTAACTATGTGATGTAGGTATATAAACGTTCCTTACCAGTATGATTATGGCCAGTAGTACACAAAACGCCCTTTTTATTCGTTTTAGTTTTGCAAAATTTGGGTTTTTCCATGCGTACGTGAGCCGGACAGCTAACCAAAGGCGTACAATTGGCTTTCGTTTCATACTTGTGATGATGGTGGTGGCTCACTAAAACTAGAAAAGTTTGATTTGAAATTATCATTATTTCTTTGTTTAATTGAATTTTACCATCATCATCAATTTCATCTTTTTGAGGTACAAACGCTCCATGTTGATCGACTTCCAGATCGTCACTGTGAGTTAGGAAATCTCGTTGTCTGATTGCTACATGACAGTCTCCAATGTATAGAAAGGCACAAAGAGGTATTATCCAATGCATTTTCTGGAAATAAAGTTAACTAGACAAAAAAAATTGATACTAATAACGAATGAAATATTTTTCAAAATGGCGACTAGCAGCTCTCTGTCCTATAAATTGTGGATGTACTTGCAAAAATATGCGTTTTCTTTCAACATTAATTTTTCTAGGAGTTCATTCTCTATTCTTGTGAATTTTGATTGTGCTAATCACCTTCTAGAAATTAATGTAGGCAAAGTAAATTGAAAAAATATTTTCCACGTGTAAGTTATGGTTAATAATAAAATATGGGTACTTACTTTGGAGACACTCACAGTACGACTGAACAATTTCGTTTTTCAAAGGAATTATTTTTCATATAAGTACAAAAAAAAAGGTTGTAAATTCTTCAGGTACCTATCGAAGCACTGTGAATTTTCAATAAACTACTCGACAAATTTTATGCGGATAATAATGTATAAAGAAATTTTTGTATATAAATTCAAATATGTATACCTATAATTACTTTAATCAAAGTTAATTTTGATATAGCGATTGACAAACAATTATTTTAAATGTATTTTTCTCTTCTTCATTGCATTAATTTATTGAAGTTCAAGATGTTCGTTTCCCGCGACGACTTCTAAATAAATTTCCCTGGGCTAAAACAATAATAAGTATATTTCCTATTTATTTCAGCTATAGCTTACCACAATTTGGCTCAAGATCGGTAGTTCGCTGGGTGGTAATCGCGTGAAAGGTTCCGAAATGCCTCCTTTTTGAAGCATAAGAAAAATGTACGTCATATAATGCTTACGTAAATTTATTTGATTCAGGTTTTCGTCATGATTGAAAAGTTTCTCGCACCAAATTCGAATTAATTCTTTTTCTGGAAAAAGAAAATATTGTTGGTGTGTAATCCATTTTTTTTTTATATGCGAACCTCATTTAGGATATGAGAGCTCATTGAAAGTAAGAATTTGATTTCGCAGGTCCGTTTCTATTGGAGTTGGATATTGGAAATATTAGCCCTAGCATCAAATTCGAAGATCTCTCTGAAGAACTATCAAAACATATACTATCAAAATGACAAAACTTTCAAAGAGTTTAAAATTTTGATGAGAATTAGTCGTCCTCCCCAGGTTTATCTATTTTTATTTATTTCGTTAATTTAGCAATAGCTAATCGTGCAACTTACATATAAAATCACAAAAGTTATAATGTGTCTGTAGTGTCAATTAAAATAAGAACAATTCAAAAACAACAAACAATTTAAAAATAAGAAAATTAAAAACAAAGGAGACAAACCGAATTAACATAAATGACAAAATAAATTTTAAATTTAACATATAAACAACAATCATTCTGAAGGTAATAATAAAATTTTAAAAAATCTGTAAAAAGCCTATGAAACTCCTAAAAGTATGGTTACCTATATATTCCTTTTTCCCTTCCCAAAATAAAAAATCAAAAGACCAAAAAACAATGTTACTTATTCGTGCCTTACTCTGGAACATATACTGGGGTCCCACCGAAAACTGTCAATTGCCTATATCTTGAAAACGGTAATCAATAAAAAAAAGTGAAAAACCCGCTTGGGGGGTTGGAAGGGGGACCCAAAACAAGGTACTTGAATCACCCCTCCGGCCGTAGCTACCCTAACCTTAAAATCTTAAATGGCACTATGGGTCATGTGATATCTTGTTTGAAAGATTTTTAATTCTCTAAACGAATCTGCAAAAAAAAAAAAATATCTAAATAGAAATTTAAATTGTCACAAAATGGCGCATGCTTCGAATTAACAACTTTGCACAGGTGAACACTGTTAGGTACAGTGAGAGGAAAGGGGTTCAAAAAAATAAAATCTTGATGATTTCTTCAAAAATATTCATGCTGTTATTCAATTTGTATAAATCGATTTTAAATCACATTTAGGTACCTATTCCACCCGATCAAATGAGGTTCTCATCAAAATAAGAGTCACATTCAAATCTGGATAATTTTTTTTTGGCAGATGCTTTAAGATAATTAAAAGACTTTTAGAACAAGGTATCACATGAACTATAACGCCATTTAAGATTTTGAGGTTATGGTAGCTACAGCCGTAGGGGTGATTCAGGGAGACCTGAAAAGTACCCTTACAACCCTCCAAACGGGTTTTTAATTATTTTTTTTTTATCGATTACCGTTTCCAAGATATAAGCCATTGACAGTTTTCGGTGGGTCACCCGGTATATCACATTGAATCAGCGGATGAACTTTTAATTTTCTTTTAAAATTGCTAAGAGTATCACATGACTTCATTTCATCTGGTAATTATTATAAACCATCTTCCTTCTAAGATATAATGGAGCAAGACCAGTTTTAATTTTAAAAATAAAAACCAGCTCATTATATTTAGCATATTCGACAACTGGAAGCCACTGAAGCAGTCTAAGCCTGCTCTTTACAGAAGTATACTTGCTACATGAGAGTATGATTCTCATAGATCTATTTTGCAACTTTTCATTCTTTGGATTTCATTTTGGTTAAGTGAATAAAGTATTGTTGCGCAATAATTGAAGTGTGGCAAAACTATAGTGTTAAAATCAACAATTCTAGACCAAGTTGAGAGAGATGCCGAACAGCGCCGAAGATAATTCGTCTTAAAACTAATTTTGGAAACCAGAATATTGCAGTGATCCTTAAATTTTAATTTGTTAGAAGAATAACCCTAATTTTTTGAACTTCTTCCAACCTAATGTTACCCATTTTAATTGAATAGTTGGTCTCAGTAAAAAGACTTCTGTTACTAGGTGTAATAATAAACATAAATTTAGTTTTACTAATATTAATCTTCAAAAGATTCTTTGATGCATAATTGTTCATTCTATTTAGGGCATTGTTAACACATCCAAATCTTTTGAGGTGTAGAAAAGACTATCATCAGCGAGGTTGTGTAAATCAATGCCATTTATCACATCCGGCAAATTGTTGATATAAATAATGAACAATAGTGGACTCAAAACACTTCCCTGTGATACACCATGCTCTTTGATTATCTCTTTTGAACATTGAACCTATTCTATTTGGTCTGGTTAATTGTCCTCTTGATGTCAGATAGTCTCTGAACCATCTCATCACCACATTCCCAATTTCAATTCTCTCCAGTCTCATCAGTAATCTGTGCCGATCAACCATCTTAAAGGCTCTCTGTAAGTCCAGAAAAACCGCCTGTACACTGTAACCTTGGTCATATTTTATTTTAAATTCATCCAGAATGTACTGTATTGCAGTTTCACAGCTGTGACCATTTCTGGAACCTGACTGTTTCTCTGTTATAATATTATATGAATTCAAAAATTCAATAAGCTGCATATATAGTTCATACCAAATAAACTTATTGTTGGGTTGTCAAGCTCGACCGGCACAGCGTTGCCGTCTCTTGCATATTTTCCTTTGGTCAAAATATTTTCAGAAAAAAAAAATGGATTATATTATAATATAATGCAAACATTTATTACTTGAATTATAAACATTGCTTCAAAGCTTGGTTTAATAGATATTTAATAACAACTCATTTGTCAATCATCACATAAAATATAATCAGTACCCATTTTATTTACAGCCACTCTAAATACTATAAATAATTAAATATTATGAATATTTGAACCATCAAAAATATTTTCAATTATTCTGGATCACTGAAATCGCTAGAATCGCTAAAGTCTTCATCAACATTGATAAAAAGTGGAAGAACCTCTTGCCTGTCCATTACTTGTTCCCTGTTATACCACTCGTCAATTATTTCCACATTTCAGGGGTAACAGTTTCCAGTGCCTCTCGCCACATTTTTGAACAAGCATCTTAAGTATAACCATCTCTGCCAATATGTCGGTTATAATAGTTTTTTGCAATTCCCCAAATAAGTTCAATCGGGTTAAAAGTGCAGTGGCATGGAGGTAGTCGTAAAACTTTATATCCATACTGTTCTGCCAAGTCATCTACCACATACTTTTTTGTTGGTTTATTCCTGAAAAAGCAATACTTGAAAAGTTGAGCATAAAATGCATACAATTTTGGTATTGTAGGTACTTACCTTGCAACAATGGTAACAAGTTCAGATTTCAATGCTGTATTTGGATACTCAACTTTCTATTCGGTTAACCAATTTTGAATTTCAGCCTTGGAAGACGAACTATTAGGTGCCTTCGTTAATAACATGCTGTGGTAAGGAGCATTGTCTATAACAATGACAGATGGTTCAGTCAAGTTCTTCAGCAGCTGATTTTCGAACCAACGTACAAAGTTTTGCTGATTCATTTCCCCATGATAGTCGTTAAGTTGAGTTTTCGATGAAAATACGAGCGATGCACCTTCAATCAATCCATTTTCATTGCCAGCATGAAGTATATAGAAGAATATATCTAAAAAAAGCATTTAATTTGTACATCTAATACAACTGCTCTCTGTATTCATGTTTATATTCACCTTTTACCATCAACTTTGGTAGTTTTAACACGTCGCTTGTTATTGTCTTACCAAGAGCGATTAATGGTACGATTTTGAAACATTCAAGTCTCGTCCAAGAAAACAAACTGGTACAAACTCTACAAAGCCTCCTGTTTCAGTCTTAGATAAGACCTCAAAAATGATATATGCGTTTAACAGCAATATCAGGAAGTTCCATCGTATAGCACTGCTATCGAGCTTTGAAACATCACAGACTCTCTTTGAAGTGCATTGTTTCTTAGAAGGCGATTCCAAAACTTCGTTATTTTTGATTGCCTTTGAAATAGCACAGACAGTGGACATACTTAAGTTCAAAGCCTCTGCTACGCGCTAAAAATGAGAGATAATAAAGTTCAAATTGGAAATTCCTATTTGGTCAAACGACATCAACAACTTGTGAACTCACCTTCCTAACAGCATTTAAGGGACATAAAGGGCCATTATTATCGCGTTCTCGTTCGAAATATTCTAACAAGGATGCGATTAGTTCTTTGCAACGGCTGTTAAGCTGCTTCGGCATCTTGTACACTTCGCACTACAACCTGTTTTTGAAAAACTAGCTCACAATAAATAGCACTCAAACCAACAACTCGTAAACTGCCAAAAAGCAATCAAAATTCAAAATGTCAAGAATTTCATTTGGCAACATTACATTTTTTGAAGTGGTGTTACCAACTGAATGACCAGCGGGAAATTCAAATTCCAATTAAGTCAATCCGACGCCGAATAATTTCACGGTTGGCCATAACGATTTTAAAAATGGCGTCATCGATGTCACAACTACAAGTTTATTTGGTATGAACTATATACAACTTTCTCAATTATTTTCTTAATGACAGGAAGTGTATTAAGGATTTAGGGATAGAGGTGACTTCAACTTCTCTCCACTTCATATGTACACTCCTGGACATAAAAAACCGGACAAACAAAATTTTGTTAAATTTCAATCCTTAATAATTTTTCCAATTTTGCATCGAAATTGATAATTTTTTGTCAAATGGTAGGCGCGTTTATCTTGATCATTATTTATTATTGTGTTTGCAAAAAGTTCGAATGGATTTGGTGTTATACAGGGTGAAACCATAAGTTGCATTTGGTCCCAAACTTCTGAACACTCTGTGGAATAACTCAAGGACACAATCATGCGTATTTGCAGGACATTCTTAAGCCTTATCATTTCTTAACATGTTTTTTTTCAATTCATATCAATATCTTCAATCTTAAAGGAAGCACAAGTTCTTAGAGTAGCAATGCAATTTATACCAATAACAAAAATTAAAAACATTACAGATAACTTTAACAAATAAACAAACACTAATATTGGGTATTACCTCCATGTGCTCTAATAACTGCTGCCATGCGACGTGGTAATCTCTCAATACAATTGGCAATAGCTCT